GGAGGCAAGGGATGGCATTCCGTGAGCTAGCGAGGGGCAGAGCTCCCCTGCCAAGAGCGGAGGGGTTCGCTGGGAAGCGGGTGAAGGTGCGGGGAGGGTGGGCGAGGGGAGGGGAAGGGGCGGCGGGGGGCGGTAACGTGGCCTTTCCCAGCTCCGAGCAGTCATTTGCACATAACCCCGGGGACCGTACAACAGCGGAAGTCCCGAATGGGCCGTGACCTGCCTCCGCACACTCCTCACACCACACAGTGTAGAAACCTTTACTGGAGAAAACACGCAGCATCCAGAAACAAGCAGCAGCTTGAGCTCATTACATCAAGGACACAACACCGTTGGCCCAAGGACTATCTACAGCACAAAGAGAGAGAGACAAAGAGGCGCAGCATGCCACAGCAGACATTTACCTTTACTTACCAAAAGCAGACCAAACCGACCCCACGAATGTACACAGAACTAGAAAACACAGCCCAGAGGGTCCTCAAAACAAGGCCAGCAGCGCTCTTACCGGAGACCGGAGTAGATCTGAGGCCCTCCAAGACCTTAGGATTGCTCTCAGCACGGTTTGGTTTGGGAGGGCAGTTCCTTTGCTTTACGCTGTTTCTCCTGCAGTCCTCAACTGCCGCCATATATCAGCGCCAAGCGGAGAGAAAACCAAACAAAACAAAAAAAAAAAACCAAAAAAAACCAAAACAAACAAAACCAAAACACCAAAAACAAAAACCAAAAAACAAACAAACAAAAAAAAACCAAAACCAAACCGAGCAACACAAAAAAAAAAAGGCAACCCAACCCCAGGGCACACAGGTCCCTAGGAGGCCGTAGCCGGGGCTGTGGGGCTCTGGCGCGGGCCGGCGCTCGAGCCGAGACACATTTCCATTACAGAGGAGACACGCACACGGGAAAGCGCCACACAGAGCCAGAAGCACCATTTTGTTACAGCACAACACAAATTTGCAGGAGGCGAAACACGGAGGAACACTCTCATTTATCACCCCTTTATGTCCTCTCTCTCTCGGTACCTTCTGAGGACAAAACATCCCGTGAGACCTTTTTTATTTTTTTTTTTTCTTTTTAAAAAAAAAAAAAAAAAAGATTTTACTTTTTTTTTTTAAGAAAAATTGTAGCGGTTTTGTGCCTTTGACCTGTGTTTATGACTCTGAAACCATGTGATGCAGGGTCGCAGTGTATGTTTGATGGGACGCCATCTTTCAGAACTGTGCTAACTCACTCTTGAAGCGTCCAATGGTAAGAGAAATACAGAAATTTTTATATGACAATGGACATTGTACTTTGTACTCCCGCTGTAAGTAGCCCTTTTCAATCTTTGTAACCGACTCGGAATAAACCTGTACGAAACCCGGTGGTGTAAAGGGAAGAGAAGAGCGACTGTACGGTGACATGAGCGTGTTTATGCCTTGTACGTGATGGCTCGTTTTAACCTGTTACTGCTGTTGCTTTGCTGCCTGTACCAGTCTCGCTCCCTCTCCCGTTTTGTCGGGGCGGGGAGATGTCTTGCCACTTTTTTATTATTATTTAATTTATAGTTTTATTTTTCCTTTCTGTACATTAATTTTTAATTATTAATTTATATTATTTTTATGGCTGTGTAGAAGCTAGCAGCGTCCCGGAGGTGGGGGGCACGGAGTGGGGCGCTCCCCTCGCCGTACCCCCCTCCTAGGCAGCTTAGGGGGG